GGTGGTAAACCTTGGAATTTTACATAATATTTCGAGATATTTATTATACCCTGAACCCATTAAAAATGGGTAAAAAGGGTATATTGTATTTGTGCAAATGTATGTAACAGGCAGAAGGAAGCATCTCCGACCCCATAAAGTATATATATTCTTGATCAGCCGAGTCGATCTAGCCATGTCCGTCTGTCTGTCTGTCCGTATAGGAATTTAGTATATTGGCTGTGCCAATGGCAACGAGCTCTCGCAAAGCGTCTATAGGCGGCGTACCATTTAAAAAATTAAATAAACAATAATATATTTGACGAAGAACTAACCCATAGCCTTTTCAATAGCAAGTACACGAAACGGGATCGCTGCTCATCTTGTTCCGTTACAACGCGGTAGGATGGCATCATACGCAGCAACAACGGCATCACAATGCATGCAATCCTTAGAAAAGTGTCGGCAAAAAAACCTGTTCCAGGGCCTCCACAAAAGTGTTGATGTTGGCAGTTATGGCCATTCTGAATTAGCAAGGACAAAACTATCAGCGAGAGAGCAGAGCAGAAAGCACAGGGCAACCGGTCCTAAAACAAAGACAATGAGGAAGCCCAAGCCAAAAAGACCCATTAGCGATTCCAGAATGCCACCCAGAAGGGGTAATAATACTGTGCATAATTACTGTAGTTACTTTACTAACAGCTTTTGCTTTTTCTTTTTTAGCATACGAAAACTTTATTAGCAGCACCATTTGTTTTGACTTCCGAGAACATCAATAAGATTTTTTAGCTTTAGTGACATTTTTCATTAGCTTCATTGATGTCACTCTTTATGAGCCTTATTTGATTCATAAACATTAAATGTTAGTATCCTCTGAATAGCAACATGAAATAATGGTTTAACAACTTACGTAAAAGCTCCTTGTATTCTTGATAGGCCCCTCCCAGGGGCTGCGGCCACTGCGGTTTTGTTCTGGATAGTTTGAATTGATGCATTTTGTAGAGGACTTAAGGACATCATTGAAATGTATATGATCCATAGCCGGATTTAAATTCATTTAAAATAAATCAAACCTTAAACCTTTATCTTATTGATTAATGCACATTTTATGCTACTTATATGTTTCTTCATCCCTTCATCCCTAATAGTGCCCTAAATTCGTATAGAGTACGGCTACACTAGCATTAAGCTGCCTAAAATGCAAGGTTCTATATACATAAAATAACTTTCATGCATATGTATATGTATGTTTATTTACGCTGTGCGTTATGTTGAAATTATGTTACGTCTCAATTCTGTAATATAGATTGGCTGCTTTCAAGAATATTATGAATGTTATATATTTAGTCTGATTATATTTGAATTGGGCTGTCGTTGATTTCTGTCATGGATGATTTATATTTAAGACCTATATTAACAGTTGTTTGGATAGATTGTTTTGTACCGAATAGATCAATTATGAATTTTTTAAAATATGTGTATTTTTTTTTTGTATGTTTGCTACTACAATATTGGTGTTAACACTTTAACAAAAAGGAAACATTTACTAGACTATTTTCGATAGGGGTAGGAAAATTATCAAGAAAGTTGTCTTATTTTTTTTTGAATGCATTACATTAAATTTTTTTGAATGCATTTGAACGCATTTGCGTTCATCAATTTTTTATCGACAACTTCTTAGACACCTGTACGACATATCTTGGCGCGTCAAACATACACACATAAATATATATTTATAAAAAGTTTCAGCAAGAATGTTTTCAAAAGCACCTCGTAACATTCGAACATGGCTTTACCAATTCGGTTTATGTATGTTTTGAATTTTTTAAGTTACTTGAAAATGAAATTCAAACTATTATTTTGGTGCCACTTTACAAAATGAAAACAAAATAGCAGAAGAAAGCATCCAGCCCTATAAAGTAAATATATTCTTGATCAGCATCAATAGCCGAGTCGATCTAGCCATGTCCGTCTGTCTGTCCGTTCGTCAGTCCGTCCGTCCGTATGTATGAACGCAAGAATCTCAGAACCTATAAGAGCTAGAGATATTCGATCACTTTCCCCGTTTCCAAGTATTCGATAAAAATCGAAATCCAAATTCTGTTTTTTGAGGAATTTTGGTATTTAATAAGAGCTAGAGTCACCAAACTTGACATGTTACTTCTAGAATAGTATAAATATCAAGTATCTTTCATTTTAAAGCCATCCCCACCTCCCCGCTACTACCTCATAGCTATAAATCAAGTAAATAAACGAATTTGTGCTACCCACAAAAATAAGCCACAATTTAAATGCAATTGACTTTTTTATATTACACGAATATTCTATACAATAAGATGTACTGTAGAAAATTTCATCAATATTGGTTAAGAAACACAGAAATGATAACAGAAAACGTGTTTTGACTTTTCTCCTATCAGCGGCAACAAGCGCAAATACCAAGAATTTCTGTATACATGTACAATCACAAATTCACGCGGGTCTTCTTTTAATTCTATCAATAGTATTGCAAATACGATTGTATTGTTTTCTTTGCTGCTATTTTAATTGATTTTTTTCTCAATAAAACTCAATTATTGGTGTGGCTGTTGAGTAGAGGCGGCAGCAAGTAATGCGGTCAGTTGCGAGTTCGAGCCCTGCTAAAGGAACTTTTCTTTTAAATTTATTTTATCTTTATTATTACTAAAGCAATCGAGCGCGTAGTGCGAGCTGCATTTGGGATTGGAGTCAGAGGGTTCAGGGTATCCCCTAGTTGGGAGCTCCCGACTAGATCCTCTTACTTGTTAAATATTTATAACTGTTTACTTTCTAATTCGGCAAATGATCTCATGATTGACGACAAAAATTTCACCCAATTACCCCAGTTCTCAATCCAATTACCCAAAAGCCATTAAAAAAATGCATATTGGTTTTGTGCAAATGTATGAAACAGGCCGATCAGGACGACGAGCTGAGTCGACTTTGACATATCCGTTGATATATATTATCTCGTAACATTTCCTAAATATCGATAAAACGACTTGATTTTTTAAGCATAACTCAAATTTACTTGTTTTTTAAGTGCTACTAATTGTCGACTTTTGGCGATCCCAAAAATTTGCTAAGCAAAATTTTTAAAATAAATGTAAAGTACCAAAACAGCAGCTAACAATTAAAAATATGTACTTATTTACCACAATAAGCGATTAATTTTGAAGTCAACTTAAACTAACTTATTGTAGCGTTAGATATAAACCTGGCCGAGCAAATGAAACAGATGGCAACCAAAAAAGCTTCCGAACGGAGCTTTTTATATGACAACAATGTCAAGTATGAGCTTTTTGGCTTAGCGAAATGCCATTGAGTAATTTAGCAATTTACTAAAGGGAAACTGTGCACGTTGCTCTCCCAACTCCTCAAATGCTTATTAGGTAAGAGAGCAAATGAATGAATGTTGTTACCATTGTGTATACGTCATTATAAAAGCAACTAAAAACAAATTCAATGTAATTTAAAATATGCTTGTGCAATTAGATTCTGTTTCATAAAATCATATATTCTTTTCTTATTGGGATTTGGCGAAGTTGTTGTAACAGCCCGGCTAGCTCAGTCGGTAGAGCATGAGACTCTTAATCTCAGGGTCGTGGGTTCGAGCCCCACGTTGGGCGAAAAGTTTTTTGCTGTTTTTTTTTTTATAAGAAAATGTTTATACCCTAAACCCATTGAAAATGGGTAAACAAGGTATAATGTATTTGTGCAAATGTATGTAACAGGCAGAAGGAAGTCTCTCCGACCCCATAAAGTATATATATTCTTGATCAGCATCAAAAGACGAGTAGATCTAGCCATGTCCGTCTGTCTGTCTGTCCATCCGTCCGTCTGTCCGTCTGTCCGAACGCAAGGATCTCAGAACCTATAAGAGCTAGAGAAATTTTAGCTGTAGGTCCTCCTAGTCCAGATCGAGTTTGTTTCCGATATTCGATAACTTTCCCCGTTTCCAAGTAATCGATCGAAAAATCGATATCGAAATCCAAACTTGACATGTAGCTTCTAGAATAGTATATACATATCAAGTATCTTTCATTTTATACCTATCGCCTGTTGGAAGAAGAGGGTTCAGGGTATCCCCTAGTCGGGAGCTCCTGACTAGAACCTCTTACTTGTTTAATTATGGTGCGATAAATTGTCACTGATGGCTAGTTCTATACTCGCACACACAAATCGAAAATATGTAGATTATTGAATCCTGACAAACGAGACTTTATAGAAGCTTGAATTATTTTAAATACTTTTTCGATTCGATGCATGTGGCAACGCAAGATATATATTTTAAAATTTAATGTCGGTAAGCGTACTTGACCGGTTAAATATTACTATCGAGATTGTAAAATAAAACAGGGTTTTTTTTGTTTTAATTTTATTTAGTAATATTAAACAGCTACGGAAAAAGTTTGTTCAATGAGCAAGACTTAATTATAAAGTACAAAATGTTTTTGGATGCAAATTTGGTATTTTTTAAGCAAAGTCGAGAGTCACAAGTCCTTTAGATTTTAACTGTGAACTACATATTAAACGTTTTCCACGTGTATACGTGTTAATGTTGTCATAGTAAATTAAGAAATTTGTACCTACAATTACAGAATATATTTCGATTTTATTCAGTGCTTTTATTTATTTCATTTATGTTGAACATACAGACAACTTATATGTTATGCTATTATTTTTGTAGATAAGTGCTAAGTTTTCTACATATTAAATTGAATAAAATTTAATTTCACGCAATATTTGATCATTAATGTATTAATTAAGTACTGACTATTGTTATATAAACCATTAATATATAATATAATATAATATGTATACGATGTATAACGCGACTTGTGTGAGAAGCGAATAAATTTGACGGTGGTATTTATGAAACTTATAGAATATAACGACATTTAGGCTAATGTCTACCAAAATGTGGAATTTCACCATTTGTATAGCTAATTTAATAGCTTACTGAATTTAGAGAGCATTATTGGAGCATTTAAAGTTTCGAATTACAGTTATTGATTTATTGAGGCACATTCGATGGATCACCTAAAGACATTACCGTAAATATTAGATTGGGATTTGTTTGTCTTGGTTTAAGAAGCCTTCTAGAAATGCTTCCTCATGCTCATATGAGCTGAGAATAAAAACGGTGTCAGCAAAGAGAAGAGTGATACCAAAAGGTTAACCAGATATTGATGATTAGCTTCAAAATATCAGAAAAAAAATACATTTTTAAGGATTAATTGGAAATTTGCTTTTGAACTTACCACCACTGCAAATGTCATGCAAAATGTCCTCCACATAGCCATTATCATTATCACAAAGACACAGTTTGGTTTTACTCGACATGAATTTGGAAACCCCAATGGTACGATTATTGTTTTCGAATTGACAAACCATCCCATCTTCACACTCGTGATTGCTGTTGCATCTATGCCGCAGACCTATAACGGAATATACACTTAAGTAAGTAAGTAAAATAATAACAGAATAATCTATAGAAACTGTGCTTTAAAATACACCTCTTTAGATATTGCTTTAAATGTAAAAACCTATGTCAGTTTATAAAATGTTAAGTTGAGATATATATGTATCTACATCTGCGCAATATTTTATAAGCGGTTACTTAAAATAATACAACTAAAATTTGTTATTAAATGCAATTATTCGATTGTATCCTTGCATCTCTGAGAGCATACATATTTCATTCAATATAAAAAAAAAATTATTGAATATGTTTCTGCTTTAATTATGACGGCGTAATGACTTTATCTACTCTATATTTGTAAATGCGATGAGGTAGCTGATTTTATTGTATTAGTTTCTAAGCTTCATCCACATAGAATATAATTGCTTTGAAGACTCTTTCATATAAGTACATATTTTTTATATATATGTATATATAGGACATTGGGATGGTATAATTTTATGAACAATCATACATACTTAAAATGTTCGGAGTCATTATATTAACATGTAATATGTAAGTATATTTGCAATTTTCTGAGCTGTGCATGTCACAAATTGGCACTGCGGCGATTTCATGCCTTGCCGTTCGAGTCACGACATTCTCAAATAAATTTGACATTACGCTACCATAACGAAAATCTCTCCTTAAGTCCCTTTCAACATCGCATCTTGTATGTATGTATTACAACCGCAAATAATAAATAAGCAGACTGGACTAGTATACTACCATGTCATGTAGCTTCCAATGGAACAACCGGGTGCATTTTTAATTTTGTAGGAAATACTCTATGTTTTCAAGATAGTTTAACAAAACTGACAAATTGAAAGTTTTATTTACATATATGGCTGGTATTTTTGAGCCTTGCCCAGTTTAAGTTTACTGTCTTGAACTACATCTTAAGTTTAAATTCATTTAGATATTCGAACATGAGTAAGAAGTCTATCGAATCAAGAACTAAAAGTTGGAATCATTTTTTCTTGACATTTTAGTAAAAAAGCCATAAAGCGAAAAATAAACTTTTGTTCATAAATCCATTGACCCGCATTTTACCACCAAATGTGAAACACGTCATTAATGAATATTCACAAAGGTCTTTAAAAATGAGTTAAAGCCCGAGCGAATGGCAAGTAAAAAGTTTCATACAACCGTTTTCCGCGATTTTTCCACACATACGATATTCACAATTCTTATATGATTTTAAAATATATACAGTCTGATAACGATAGTGATAGTGCAAAGATGACCGAGCACCGAGCACATCGTGTTTGTAACTTAGGCTGAAATCTTGAAAAATTAAAAGGGCTCCTTAAAAATCTTCGTGAATGATGTACATATATGATGGTGCTTTGTTTAATTTTCATTTGCAACCCCTTCGTACTTGAGTTACTGGCAAACAAAACAGACTGCTTCCAAGAGGTTGGGCTCTTGAATAATAAATGTAATGTGCATGCCTCCCAATTAGGTACGTACTAGCTCAGGCATTCACTTGACAGCAAAATAAAAATTTTTTTTACCTTTGAGCACATCTGGACAGAGTCCATTCGAGGGCGGCGAATCATCTCCACATAGGCAACGCATCTTGTAGTCATTGGGATCCTTTACACAACTGGTGCGTTCTGTTGTTGCGCAGTCATCGTGGGTGTTACACTCGCGACCTTTGACTGAAAAGTAAATAAATCAACAATATACAAATTAATGATTCTATAAGCACAAATTTTGATAATCTTTGATTACAAAACTATTTGTCCTGACTGACTGACTGACTCACTGAATGTTTGCCGATCAACGCACAAATGTTTTTTTAGTTACCCTATGTGATGAAGGTGCATGCCAAGACGGAGTTTTGGGAAATTTCACCACGAAGTGTGGAAAATTTTCGGCCTCAAACTTATTTTTAGGGATTTTTGATAAAATTGATTTGAGAAGTGTATCAGAGTTCTCACAAAATCCAACCCTCTTGGATAGAAAATGCAGGTCAAAGATTTTTTTGTAGGTTTAAGTTTCATCCGATTGGATTCAAAGTCTTTTTCAAAGTTATTTGTGAGAATTCATTTGATACTTGCTTAATACTTTCCGCAAAAAGTTTCCGGTGGAAGCTCATTGCAAATATCTTTAAAAAAATTAATTTAGTACAGATAGATGAAAATTTCCATTTGCGAAAATTTAATGCATACAATTTGAAGCAAAAATCTTGGACCGGCTCTATTCTTATTGATTCATATATACGCCCTAGTCATTAGCAATATACATATTTACACATCTGCACATTCTGTCCCGCTTCTCTTGGCTTACACTGCGCGTGATACTCCGATAATTTGACCGAGTTGTCTGCTATTAGCATTGTTGTCATTGCATTTGACTGACTTGTTTGATCAATTTCTGATTTATGCTTCAAAGCCGGAAAACGGTTTACTTATTTGTACTAGCTAGTCGAGGTGCCAGACATGGCAAGTCATTAGGCGCCAGGGGGATGAAGCAGGGTAATGCTCAGTTTTTGTTATTAGGGAAGTAAGATTGTCATTTCATATTGTAGTTTATCATACAATGTTATTTGTTTCAATAACAAGATAATACCTTAGTTGCATTTGGCTCAATATTTTTTTTTTCTTGACATATTTGAAATATTTATAAAAATAAATTAATTTACCTAAAAAACAGTATTTGTATAAAAACATCAAGACAAGACATATATATATATATATATATATATATATATTTGTAAAAATATATTTTGAAAAAATAAAAAATTATTTATATATTTATATATATATATATATATATACATATATATTATATGTAACTATAATATATTTATAAAATATATGTAAAGATGGATCAAAGTATCTCAAGCAAACTGAGCAATAAGGTATTAAAATATACCGCACATGTGCGTTATGTATCCAAGGGCATTGCATTTTTAGCACCCCAAGAAATTTATTACTTTTTATTTTTTTAATTTAATTTCGAATTCCGTAACATACAATTTCTTATATACATACATACATACATACCTAACAGCCACAAAACAATATTCGACTGTACAAAACGGTTTCAAGTGAAAAACAAAAATTCTGCTATTGCTAGAATTCCTTTACCTTGGCTTCGTCTACGAGTTCTACTTACTTATGGGACCTTGCGTGGGCGGCGGTTGATTATTGGTCTTGCCGAATGTAGTTAACGCCGTGGAGCTCACCCCAAAGAGTATGATGAAGACTCCAAAGAGCATAGTCAGGCTGCCACACTGAGTGAAACGCTTCAAGGGCTGCATTTTAGTGCACTTTCAGCGAGCGTGAGTAGGCAAAATTAGGCGCCAAAATACAACGTTTATATAAATTATTTAATCGCTTACTACAAGAGAGTTCTCACGCACTATATTTTTGAAGAGTCTAAATGTATTTGTACTTGAACAACAATTTTTGCACAAGAATAAATGTGAACACAAGAAAACGAAGTGCTTTAATCCGTCGATTTAGTCAAAAATTGTGTGTTCAGAAAAAAGTATTGTTTCCAAGCAACTGAGCAATAGATTTGTATACCTTATATTTCACTCTTTTTTTTTTTTGGATATTCTAAGGATCTGACCCAACAAAGCAAACGAACCAGTCGCCTGCGCGTTCGAAATTCAAGTGATGAATTTCCTGAGGTACACGTAGCTTAAGTTTTGTACACTAACTGCATGGTACGGCTCAGCGGCTCGACGGGGACTTACTTCTCTCTCGCGCTAGTCCGCGGGCCTACCCTTGAGCCCCAATCCGCGTCCCAAGTAGCACCTAAATTTGATAAACCTGACTACGAAGATTGCATACTCTTACAGAGCGTAAAACGGTTAGAAAGAGTATATATATTTATATACTTGTTTTTGTTATATATAAAATATATAATATATAATATAAAATATATTTTTATATGTGTCGAAAGCACGTTGTCCCAAAAAAAAATTATATAACAAATAATTAATAAATACTGTTTTACATTTTAACGCTTTACTGTTTGTATAGGATTATTTGTTATATTTTTCAGCTCGTCTTATTAAATAATTGTAAACTAATGCCTTGAGCTAACCTCGCTGGGAGTTAGGGCGTGTAGGGGCGTCTTCGAATTTAAAGTGAGGTACACCGTCGGGACGATGCGAAAATTCGAGGCGTCTTTTGAACTTTACTAACTCGTAAATTGAGTTTGGTCGCGTTTTCATATATATATATATATATATATATATATTATATATGTTTGTGTTTATATATATATATATATGTGTGTATGTATGTATATACATATGCATATATATATATATAGTTGATACTCTGAAAACCCGAAAAAATATATATACATATATATACCAAGCTGTAACGCACTTGTGGTGGTTTCATGTTAGTTGCGTTAACGAAGAAGAATTTTTTTTGTATTCTTACCTTCGTGCTATTTTTATTGTTGTTTCGTTAAAGTCGAGGCGGCCTCGTGGAGGCTTCGTCCTCGCCCTGGTGTAACTCTTTGTGTGTATTATTATAATGGCGAAGTCATTAGAGCCATTGCATAGCCTAGTTGTGAAACCTCCATCTAATACGTGCACAATTCCCACACAACAATAAAGGGTGGCATTAGCACGCACAACAACAACAACAAAAATCACAAGAACAACAACATCAAGAGTAATTTTTTTTGCTTAAACAACATCAAATACTTATTTTAGCCATTATTTTTATTATGCTTCTTTACCCGGTATTCGGGTCGTGGCTCTAATTACATTTCACTTGCACTACCATCAATGCTGAGTGGGCGCTTGTTGCTTTTGGCTCTCTAGAAAGGTTGCATGCCACGCCCACAATTTTGAAATTGCCAATTTTACAAATCAGCATTTGCATATCAAATAAATGGGTTTCACGAACGAGTGAAAAGGCTGAAAACAAAGTGTTCCATGTGTGTACATACTATCTCAGTTGTTGCCCCTAAGTGCCCCTTAGTGCATACAAAGTATGTACTAGATCGGAATCGGTCTATTTAGTTCGGGCTATTGCCATGGAATATCTCACTCTTGTCGCCTTATGAGGACGATACATTCATTGTATTCGATTGTTTTGATCGGGCTTGATCAAACAACAATATCAATAAAATATTTTTCTAAAATCTTCGGTACCCCGATAAAATAGTTCCGTTTTATTTTATTATATTTTAAATTTTCGAGTATGTCAGTCTTATGCACTTATGTGCCAACTATATATACTATAGCTCTATCGTGAAATTAAATGTATATATATTTCTCTTCGACATTATTGATAAATGTTCTGGCGCAAATCCTAGGAAAATTATGTATGTATATAGAACAAGCACGAACTTGCCAAAAGCCACACAAAAGGAATAAATACAATACAAAATTGGATAGCTGCAGCTATACGTGGAGCCCAGTAATTAAAGAACCATTTCTTTGTCCACAATCTGGCTGCCATGTTATTCTTAACTGATGATTAATTAGTGCGACATAGCCTGCAAATCCAAAGTGCCCAACTGAGCGAGTATATAATTTCCTCACGAAATCTGTGGAGTTGGCAATGAGCATGCTTAGAGGTCATCATATTTGCGCAGTGAAACCAGAACCCAACCCATCCACATCAACTCTATGGTGAATGCTAATTTAGGGTTCTTTAATTTCATATTATCGTCAAGTCTAATTGCACCTAGACCTAGAATATTCTGTTTCAGAGCCGTATTCTGAATGCGAGTTTATTGCTCCGCGTTCTTACATGCATATTAAGTAACCGTGTTCGGATCAATAACAAGATAAGGAATGCGAAATAGAGGTTAACAATAGTTTCGATTTTTTTTTTTGTTTTTTTTTTGTACTAAAATTCCATGCGTACTTTAGCTGACGATTTTTGCTTTATAATACATTTCTCTATGTACTGAAAATTTTACAGCAGTTACCTTATGCGATGCGTGCAACTGCTAAGACGAGGTTTTGGGAAATTCCATAACAAGTGTGGAAAAATCGCAAGCTATTTTTGTATAAAACAATTTTGTTTTTCATCCGATCGGCGTCAGACTTATTTTCAATTAAATTCGTTCAAATTCATTTGAGGGGCGTTTCAAACTTTTTGGAAAATATTTCCCTCCTTGGTGGAAATGTGAGTTCAAGATTTGGGGGGGTGGTGTTTCGGGTTCAAAATCATTTCTTTGAATCTGTATGAAAATTCATTTGAAAAGGGTTCACACTTGCAGAATTAAAGTTTCCTCGGCGAAAAATTCGATTCAAAATTTTTTGGTTGAAGTTTTAAATTTGTCTGATTTACTTTAAACATAACAACCTAATGTATCCGTTCGGCATCAAAATTTTTCACACTTTTCGCAATATCCAACCCTATTGTATGAGAAATGTGGTTGAAAGGTTATAAAAGAGTAGTAATAAGTTTTGTACGTTTCGTAGTTTGTTGAAATTTATTTTGCTCGGATTTTTGCGATATCCTTTGCTCTTAAATGGAAAATGCGGCTCCGTTGATTCCAACTTACTGTTTATTTTTCGGTGGATCTTAAAATGATTCAGATACAAGTGGAGTTCAAAACTTGCCACGGATTTTAAACATATTTATAAATAGATAGCAGTGGAATTCAGAACTTGCCACGGGCAAGGCTTATACTATCACTCTTACGCCAAATTCCACAGTACACACCCCTTAAGGCCAACTTAGCACTGCAGAGAAGCACACAAATATACCTACACACTTCTGTCTTTATGTATGTATACGTATAGATATTGTAAATATGTAAGGTCCAGTGAGTTTTATGTTCAATGGGGAGACTAAGCAAGGGGGCTGGGGCAGTTTTTTTGATATTTCGTTTTCTTATTCGTGTTCGCAGTAAAGGCATTTGACCTTTAAACATAGTGGAAAAACATTCGAACCCAGTGTATAAAATGTGAAAGCAAAGGGAATAGTTAAATAAATACAGTCATCATTGCCATAATGGTGAATAGCTGTAAAATTAATGGACTATATCGGTATATCCCTCCTTTAAATTTAATTCAATAGAATTTATGTATTTATTTATTATTAAATGGTCGACAAAACGAGTGGCAACCAAAGTATTTAATATTATAAGACAAAACTTAAAAGCTAAAACCTAAACAGAAAAAAATTTCTAATAACATCGCCGACACAAAGGGGGATTTAATGTGTCAGTCCGGCCGGCTTATTTTTAAATATATCAAAAACGAGAAGGGGGGGCTATCTTCGGCGCGCCGAAGATTTAATACCCTTGCAGACCCAACCTTTTCATAATGCTCATAGTGCTTTGCCCGCATCTAAGAAGCACAGGGAAAATAGTATATGCCGAGTACGGTTAAGATGTCTTGAAAAAAAAAAAAGTTTTCCATACAACAACTTAATTCAAACCGATCGTTCCTATGGCTCCTATATGATATAGTGGTCCGAAATTAATAGAATTTTGCATATATATGAGGAGCATAGTAAAACAAATAAATGCCGAGTTTAGTCAAGATATCGTGAAAAACTAACAAATTCTCCATACAAGAACTTAATTTTGGACCGATCGTTCCCATGGCAGCTATATGATATAGTTGTCCGATCTTCAGAGGATTTTGTATATATATGAGGAGCATAGTAAAACAAATGAATACCGAGTTTGGTCAAGATATCGTGAAATTAATTTTCAACCGATCTTTCCTATGACAGCTATATGATATAGTGGTCCGATCCAGCTGGTTTCTGCAAAGTTTCATAAAGAATGCATTTTTAAGATTTTTTTGGTGAATTTTAAGAGTTTTCCGATTTGCATTAAAGTTGTTTGTTTCCCGTCCGATCAGTTTTAAAATCATTTTCAAATCTTATTTGATTTTATAACATACGTGCCACGGGCAAGGCCGGGTTGTAATTGATGTCTTTGCATTTAGATCTGCATTCAGCACCTGCAGCAGCCCGTTGGGTGGAAAGGGTAAACTTTTGGCAAACACCTGCACCTGCATATGTAGGTCAAGTGACTGATCACTTAACTAATTTTAGGAAATTTGTGTAAAAAATAAAATCTTTAAAATATTCAAATATACCAAATCCAAAAAAGGAGCAATTGTATATTTATAGTGATAATAATTTTATTGTCTTAAAATATTTAGCTTTTTCATACATGAATTTGATCTGCACGTATTAAGGGGTCAACATTCATTGATCAATTCAAACCCTAAATCATAAAAAGAAGGGTGCGCGACAGACGCGTGCCAATTCAGCCCATTCACACACATTTGTGTCTCTGTGTGTGTGTGTAGAGCTCGAAATTCAGAAATCCAAAAATATTGTCAAATTTGCATCGGACATGCAGGCAGGCACATGCGCATAAATGCTTCTATTCATATACAAAATATACATATACACGCAAGTATGCGTGAATAGCAAGTCCAAAAACTTTTAAATGCACACATGC